GGGTTAATTTCAGAATCGGGGTCGGGGACGGGGTATATGATCCCCGCCCCGTTGCCATTCCTACTTCCGCTTCAACCCTTTGTCAAAACATTGTTCATTGTACCCAGAAATCACAACTTTTCCCTACTTGCAGAACAAACTTATGACAGTTTTTGTGGATCAATCCCCTCTGTCCAACCGGCCCCTCTCACCGTTTTCAAAATCAGTTTGGATTGTTAAGAGTACAGGCTCTCATTTGGTGAGAGAGCTTGGTGTTCTAAATGAAGATGATGAAGCGGCCAATGATGTAGTTAGCAAAGACACCCAGACTAGAGGATTTGGTCAGAGCAGCCTACGAGTTCCCTCCGGGCGGATCTGCAGATCTGTGAAGCAGAGGATGCAGAGAACATCGAGAGAGGGGGGAGAGAGAGAGAGAAGCTTGCCGCCAATGGTTCACCATTGCGCCAATGGAGAAAATGGAAGTTCAAATCCATTTTTTCAAGTCAAATGAGGCGCAAAGAGTGGGTATTTTTGTCTTTCGATGTGATCTGAAACTCATCTGAAAATGAAAGTCAGTGCCCCAACTCTTACAGATTCAGATCTGAAAACAAATTTCAGACCAATCTTCAGACGCAACACCAAACAAGTCTGGTGTCTGAAAAGCAAGTTTTTCAGACACCAAGCCTCTGTAAAGCGTTATCAAACGCCACCTAAAATACAGTGGTGGTTCTTGGGGCTAACCACCACTTGTGGTTGAAACTGATTCCCAAGGTTAACTCTCCTTGCTGATACAACAGGAAAACCCCTAGGTTCTTCTTGGTTTAAGGCTGTACTAGGCAGCTGAAGATTAGTCCTAGTGATTGCTTCAGTCAACTACCTAATAGCAACTTCTAAACCTTCAAAGGATGCAGCTTGTCGCTGTTGTAACTCTCTGATGGTTGAATCTCAGATCCATTACTAGAAGCATTGTTGTGGGCCATGTCTGAGAAAAAACTCAAGCTCGGGCACCACACTACCACCTAATGTAGGAGAACAGGTCCAGCAGATCTGTTCTAGTTATTTTAACGGCAAAAGTCACCCAAACTGTTTGAGAAATTTGAAAAACAAAAAGAAGAAAATAGAGTGAAGAAAAAAAACAGCTTTCTTAAGCTTTAAGTAATTGAATATCCTCCTTTTTCTCCCCTGAACAGCAGCTAATAATGTTCTATATAGGGGTTCTGTTTAGGTCAGCGGCCAATAAAACTCTGAAATTACAAAAATACCCATGTCCCAAAATAATAAGGAAAACCCAAAAATAACCTTATCTAATAGCTATATACCCTGTAAGACTCTTCCTAACAAGAATAATCCACACGAGAAATCATTAATTGACTTAAAAACAACCTAGGAAATCATCAAAGCAAAATTAAAACAAGAAAATAGCTAAATTCAAGCACGAGAATGCTTCACTGTCTTGTTCCTTCTAGATTTGTCATATGTTTATTCATAAAAAGGTGCTGCAGCCTCTACATCAGGTTCAGGTTGGATTTGGTTAACCCAGCCCAAGTAGCAGCCCTAACTATGGCGACCTAATCGCTCTCTAGAGGGTATGTAGCACCCAGCTCCTCTAGGAGTCCAGCCACTTCCTCCACCAAACCCCTGCCACTCCTCATACCTTTTGGAGGTTAGACTATTGTCTCTAGGGGTGAGCAACTGAGCATTATTCGGTTAAAACCAAAATACCAAACCGAAAATTTTGGTTTCGGTTTTTCGGTTTTTGGATAATTCGGTTTTTAGGAATCTCGGTTTTCAGAGTTAGAAATTCAGTTAACTGAAAAAACCAAATTAACTGAAATTCATTATATAATATACAATATATAATATGCTATATATTTATATATTTATATATTAATATATTATATATAATGTATTATAATGAAATTCAATTTCATAATATATATTATAGGTTATAATATACAATATTATATATATATATTAAACTCGGTTTTTAACTGAAATAACCAAACCAAAAATTTCAGTTTTCTTGTAATTCGGTTTCGATTTGTTTTCATTCTTTATTTCAGCTTTTAAAATTTTTGTTTATTCAGTTTGGTTTTTAACCGAATAAACTGAATGCTCACCCCTAATTGCCTCTGCCATATCCATGTTCTTTCACCTTTCTCTATTTTGTATACCATAATCCTATAATGCTCCAGCACAAATATTTGAAGCAGCAACATAAATATAACAAAATGTAGGCATATCCTATAATAATTCAAATTATTAGAGATATAAATAAACAAATAAAGCTTTAAAATGATTTTGCGCTTGACTAACCTGACTAGGCATTAATTGACAAGTCAACCTAGTCCATGCTTAGCAATGTTCAAAAAACTAGACTGGGCATAGAACTGAAAAAGGGAAGGTTCACAGGTCAGAGATTCAGTCAAGGTCAAATTGGGTCACATAAATACCATATATAAGATATTTTGCAAACGATATCACACTTGAATGTGATGAATAGATGGCTAGTTCCTTAATTTTTAAAGCAAATGACCTGGGTTTAAGCCTCTCAACTCATATTTTCTTTAGAATACATGTATATTCAAGCAATGTATACATAAATAGGTATAAATGAATACAGATAAAAAAAAATGGATTAATGGTAACAAGACAATACACATAAATAAAGAATCATAGGTTCAAGTCTTGCCATTAGCATTTTGAAATTTCCATTCATTTAATGACCAGTGTTTTAAAAGTGTAAGGCGCAAAAAAGGCGCAAGGGCCAATTTGTGCCACCCAGTGTTTTAGCTTTTTCTACAAAAAAAAAACTAAAAAATCAAAAATAAAGTCAGAAAATTCAAAAAAAATGCCAAAATAATTCAAAAAATATTAAACATAATGTTAGTGACCGAGACAGTTTATCCGGTCCAACCAGTCAGTCTATTCCAGTTTCTCTAGGCACTAATGCTTAGTCATCCTAGGCAACCGCATCATTGAGTATCCACCACCTAGTTAGTAATGCAGTCAATCTATCCCTCAAATAACTAGTCAACACTCTGATAACACTGGGAAAAAAATCATAGGAAATTGTAAACCATGTGAAATTCTATCCACTGATATTGTGCAGTGATGCAAAAATAGAATTCCAGAAAGAAAAGAGTCCATGGAGAAACAAAATAGTTTTCCGATTCCTACACCAATTTCAGAACCTGGTTTGTAATATCAGCAAGATTTGGCAAAATTTCCCCAAAATCTCTCCATTTTTCCAGGGGCAATGAGAAATATTCCAAGAATCTTTTCCTCCTACCATCCCCAATACATTGCCAATATATTGGTGATATTCAATTTCCAGCCATAGACTATACTTTTAAGTTAAAAACTTTAGAATGTCCAAACTTTCTGATATTTCATTAAAATCATCAAATTTTTTTGAAAATCTTTTCCTAAAAGAATAAATCGGGATTTGAGATTGAATAAATGCCCCTATTTTCCCTGCTAAGTTATGCTTTTGATATAGATGGTGTACCTTCTCAGCATCAATAACTTCATCCCCAGGGAAAGAGATATTCAGAATCTGATCTTTATGTGCACTAGCATGTGGTCTCATTTCAATAAGATATTTGGGTGTCAATAGATTATCCCCAAAACTTGTCAGTTTCCAATGTTTGTTGATTCTTGGCCTGTGAAAAGATTCAGCAAAATATACTATGGAACCAATCTGACTTTTATATCACCTTTGATGACCCAAATGGTGAATAGTTGACAATACTTGTCATGTCAACTCTCCATGTGGAAGAAAAACCACATGCAAAGCCTGTGATTTACAGAATAGAATACAGCATACCTTCATCCTTTAAACATAATGTTAAGTTAATGGGTGAAATACTAATTGCACTAATTTTCTTCTAATGGGCAAAAAAGCAATACCACAATTTCATCAAAGGTTCATGAGATTATCATATACAGCTATGTATCAAGCAGAACAAACCCAGACAATTGACAATAAACTACAGAACAACAACCTGCAGGCAATTCACCCACAGGCATGCCTACACGGTTATATCAAACAATGTTCTTCAAGAATTTACAACGCAAGGCCTTGGAATTGGGGGTGATGCTAGTATAGAATTATGCCTCAATATAATATCATATAGGAACATACTTTAATCTGAAAAAGGCATCTAGGTCATCATACCATAAATTAAAAAATAAAAAACAAAAAGAAGATTCAAAAAAAATGGTGGTCTTCATAAATCAAGTCAAAACACCAAAACCACACAAGATAAATGAAAGAAAACCACGAAGCATGTCCGCAAAAACATTACCTGCACTAGTTCATCAGTGCTCATAGCGCAAGCTGGGAGGTGGTCTGCAGGAAGGATACGGATATTGGCATTAGTATCAGTTCTCAATTTTTGAATGATGGTTCCACCTTTGCCTAGAAGACATCCAACTTGATTGTTTGGAACAAGAAGGCGCGCAGTGACTACATCATTTTCATTATTATCTTCAAATGTGGCACCACCAAATAGCTCATCCTCCTCACATATCCTTTCATGAACTTTCAAGAGAGCATCCTGGGCGGGACAATGTGGCTGCATGAGCTCATATTCTTTCTCAGTGAGAACATCATCATCATCATCCTCCTCCTCCTCCTCAGTATCTTCATTAGTATTATATCTTCTAGGCTTTCTTGTAGCAGAGCTAGAAATGATTATTACTCTCTCATCTGAGCCAGGAACAGATTCAGCAACCCTAATTTTTGCACGAGTCTCATCTCTCAGGGCATTGATTATGCTACCACCTTTTCCAATAACACCACCAATCTTTCTACTTGGACAAAGAATACGAAAGACAGTGTCTGCAGCACCAATATTTTGGTCATAGTTGATATTTTGGTTAAAATTCTGTCTTTTTCCTTTTTTATTGCCCTTTTTCTTTTTAAATTGGGCATGAGGACGTTTCTTGAAAGATCCTGACTTGTTTCTGTCCATCTTGTTGTAGAGGAAATCCTAGAATTCACAATATCTGAGCAGGATCAAAGTCTGAGAAGAAGCAAAAAGGACATGATATTCAGCAAAACTGAAAATCAATTTAGAATTCACCAATAAACTTGATCACCCAAACTCATCTAATTCATCAAAAACATGTATATTTTTGACATTCATTACACACCTCAACGAAGAACTATGCTTTCAAAATAATCCAAAAAATATAAGTATCTATACATGTCGAACAAAAAGACAAGCAAAATGGGCACTCTATCAAAATTAGAAGAATTTGGATTATAAAATCTAAGATAGAACAATTCAGCAACCAATATCACCAAAGCAAGTCACATTAATGAAAAAAGCACTGGAAGGTTACCATACGATTCCATAAGAGGAAGTAAAGAGAGCATACAAGTGTCTACGTTCGTATACAAGCCCTACGGTTTCTAAAGTTGACAGAAAATGCTAAAAGGATAGGCTGCTATTATACCGAAACCTGTGAAAATGAAAGACAAGGAAAATACGCTATCTCGTCTGCTAAAGAAGAAATACAGTTTATAACTAGTAGTAATAAATTATCTTATGTAAAAGCTCTTCATTTATCCTTGTCATTCCTTCCCGTGTAATGTTTTAATGAGGTGAAACTAGGATTAAACCACGGAATAAAGAACTACGACACAGAGCAATACTCAATTGAGCTTCAATGGAATATCCCTCTTTCACCCATTTAATCCTCCATAAGCATTAAAAATGAAAATTAAAATTTCTCGTTAACCATGAAGCGAACTCTTTTCGGATAAAGAGCTAAAATATTTCACGAAAGCTAGGAAGGAGAAGAAAAGAGAGAGAGAAAGAAACATACCGGAAAATTGGAGAAGATTTAGTCGCCGGGAACCATAGACAGAGAGAAAAGAAACGCACCTCGCCACCTCCCCACTCACAGTCGCTCTCCGTCTGTGAGAAGCATTTAGGGCTTCGGCATTCAGGGCCTTTGCCTTTCCACTCCACTTGTGTTGTGGATCGTGGGAGAGAGTCATCGTAGGTAGACCCCTAGAACGGTCTGCTTTAGAGTGTCCACACCACACGTAGATTCTGTGAGACTGAGAATACAGGATTATCGAACCCACTCCTGATCTGCTCTACTAAATGGTCTATCGCTCGTTACTTATTCCAATCCAATGGATTTTGAAAGTGGCCCAGCTCAAGGAACCAAAAGAGGCATTCGGGTCTGTAGAAGTAGAACCATGGAGGGAAAGTATTATAGGATCGAGAAGACGAGAATCACTTACCTTTTTAAACCTCTGATCCGTCGCGGGATTTTATTCTTGTCCGTAAGCCAAAATCGTGGGCCTGGAGTGGAGGGCATTCCTTGCGAATGAAAGCGGGGCCTGGGCCCTGGCCTTACCTATCATAAGTCAGTCCAGCCCATGGCGCAAATTCAGATTTAGGTCTCTGGCCCGAACTAAGGCCAAGGTGTTGGTCACTGGGCTTAAGCATAGCACGAATTAATACTTAGCCTTGGGCCATGAGCCCTCAGCCCATCTTATCTTATATATATATTGATATTTTTTTGGTGGGCATCCTATATATGTATATGTGAAATGGAGGAGATGTGATCACCAAACTAAGGCCTTGTTCTTTTTCATTACATGGAGTATCTCGGACCAATTTGATGTAATGACCCTTTTCAAAAAATACGAGCAAATAGTTGGGAACTTGAGATCAAGACAAGTTCAGCTGAATTGAATTATGATACTATAAAAGCTTACAGCCAATTAACTAGTATCATAAAAGAGGTGACCAATTAAAGGTATTCATCACCAACCGAGGGCTGGCTCGTTGGTGTATTATGGAATTGAATCCCACAACTAGCACTTTGGGGAAGAAGGGGGTCAAGGGGACGTTATTAATGGTATATGGCACTAAATACCAAAAAAAAAAATCAATGCTATTCATCAAAATTAACGGGGTGCTTTGATCAGTCAAAACTCTTTCCATATCATAGACTTTTCTATATGTGTGTGTATATGCAGTTATTTGATAAATGGTATTATATAATGTTAGTATCAACAGTATTATTTAATGGGAGGGATGGATAGGATTAGGGGTGGCAAATGAGTGGGATGGGATGGGTTAGGTGTGGGTTGAGCACCAACCAACCCATTAATGACCCACAAGGCCACAATACATCAATGACCCATATTGATTGCTTGTTAGTGGTTCATGACTAGGGATAGCAATTTTCCAACCCCACGAGGTATTCGTCCTCCCTGATTGGGGTCAAGGATGGAGATTGTCTTATCAAGGGCGGGGATGGGGAGTGAAGTCTCTACCCCACACCAACCCCAATTATATACATTAAATATATTGTAGTATATAAAATATTATTTATATTTTATATATATATATATTAAATATTTTTTGTATTTTGAAATTTTCCTTTGTTTCAAATAAATCTATTTCTAAACAATACTTTTATTAACATATTTTTGGGGATTGGGTCCCTGTGCAGAACTCGTCTCCATTGGGGACTGGGTATGGATGGTAACTTTTATCCTCAACAAGGATCAGAGTTGGGGGTGGAGAATATGGTCCCCACCCTGAACTCACCGAGCTATCATTAATTCCTAATCAAAACTCACCGTGGCAATTCTAGATTATAATAGTTGTAAAACAATAACAATATCATAGATATGTTTAGATTTTTTTCTATTATCTTTTATATCTTTATCTAATTTTAAAATTTTATTATTTAATTACGATATTATGAGTTGTCCCATTTGACATAATACAAAAAATGAAATTATTTTGATGTAATTTTTAAAAATTTTACTCCATTTTCCTCATGAATAAAAACAATTATTTTTTTATATAATGTGATGAATGTATAATATCAAGGATGTCTCTTAATTTTTCTATTTTTTATAGATTTTAGTATTTATATTTACTTTTTATTTTTTATTTAATTATGACATCATGGGTTAACCTAAACTATTGAATTCCTAAACCATTCCTTGAATGGAAAACATTTTCCTTTTCAAGACAACTTTTATTTTTTATATTCCATTCCACCATTAATAAAAAATAATTCATACTTATCACACACATTTTCTTTAATATGATGGCTATATAATATTAGATATTGCCAAATTTTCTATTACTTTTTTGTATTTCAATATCTTTAAATTTTATTATTTAATTACAACATCATGGGTTGACCCACTTGGTTTTAAATTTTGTGTTTCATTACATCATTAATAATAGTAATTTGTGTTTATCACTTATATCTTTTTAATATGAAATAATATATAATCTTAGAGATGTGTCTAAATTTTTCTATTTTTAGAAAAATATTATTTTACAATGACATCAAGGGTTGATCAATTTATCTCAATATTTGAACTATTGACCCATCACTTAGGAAGGACAATGGTCTCATTTATGGATCAATTTTAAATATTGCATTCCATTTCCATCGTTCATACAAATACTTCTTATTGATCATACCTATTTTTGTTTAATATGACAAAAACATAATATTATGGTGTGTTTGATTTATGAGAAATGGATGGGAAAGGAAGCATATTTGAAGAATATTCTTTTTTCGTGTGTTTGTTTAAAATGAAAACCCGGGAAATAAAAGGAAACACTAGGGATGCAAGTTCTCAAAAATTGGTACGGGGTTGCACTAATTTGGTGAGGCCCTACTAAGAAAGGAAAAAAGGCGAGAAAATTTTCTCTTGTTCCATTTGATGGGTGGCTATCAAAATCTCACCACCGGCTCCATCCGTCCTTGATCATCTAGACCTCACCGCTGGCATTCTCGACGAAGGTAGGCTTAGATTTGGCATGATTGAACCATATCTAACTTCTAATAAGATAGTCATTTCAGTTTATTCGCACAATCTCCAAACTTGGATTATGGAATATAGTTGTTCCAGATCTAGACTTTGTTTTCTGGCATGATAATGTATCTTTTTATTCAAACATTTTTTTTTTGTTTTGGTTGAACTCGGATCTAAGATTTTGTGTTTTTTTTTTGTTATTTCATGTAATAACAAACAACAAAGCATTTGATTTCAGCTTCAAGTAACATGTGATCTCAGATCTAATATTTTTTTCACTACCCTATTTTTTTTTTAGTTTTTTTCTTTTACACTTCACCAATTTGGAATGCCATTGCGATATCTTATATGCATCTCATTGTTGCCACGTGGAAAATTTACACATTCATGTGTTTAACCATGAAATGTCATTGAAGAAGATGAGAAAAGGATGGAAAACTTTGTTTAATATGTTTCTTGTTAAATTTTCTTAGAAAACAAACATAGGAAAATGAATTTTGATCATATCGTTTATCGGGAAACAAACACTGGATGCAAAAATGGGAAAAATATATTCCTTTCTCATCCCATCCTTTCGCATTCCATCCTTTATTGACAACCAAACGGACCATTCAAGATGCACCTAAATTTTATAATTTTTATTTATGTATTTTTAAAATTTTAGCATCTAATTATGGTATCGTGGAATCACTTGTTTAACCTAAATGGTATAACTATTAATATACTACCTAGAAAAACTAGGTTCATTTTTAGTCGATTTTAAAATGTTGGTTTTATATTATTAATATCAGTGTTCATTGATTTAATTAATGGAATCTAATGATGATAGACAAAAATACCTTAAATGTAGGATTTAGTGATAGAGAATGAGAGTTATTATCTTAAATATAAGACTTGATGAGAGAATGGAATGCATTAAAAAGTAATATTCAAATTACAATATCTACCTACAAAATAAAGAGTGACCAAATTTAAAAAGAGGAATATTTTAGCCAAAAACATTCCATAAACCATGGAGAGCTATTCATGCTTTTTATAGTAGTATAGATATAGATATATATCTTCTCCCTTCTTCTCCCTTTTTCTTATTCTTCTTCTCCCTTACCTCTTTGTTGTTCTCTCTCTCTCTCTCTCCCATCATCTTATTCTTTTGCATTGTTTGTGAATAGGAGAGGAACTTAATCAAACGACTCGTCTACTCTCACCTATGGAGTTTGTATTTTACACTTAGAAATAGTTTGTTTGGTAATATTAGAAATAATAAAATAATATTAAATAAAAATGTTATTAAATTAAGAAACAATTAATTATTTATTATTTAATCAATAGTAGTATTTATTTACTATTATTAATTGCCAATAAAAACATTACTATTATTAGACATGTAATTAAATAATCTTATTACTAAATATTGTGATTTGTTTAGACAAAAATGATGTTATTTATTATTTTATAATAATAATAATAATTTAGTAGTAATATTTATTTTTTCTTTGAATAAATGAACAATAATATTTACTAATTAATAATAATTTTTTATTAAAATATTGATTTATTATTGCTATTAAATAATAATTATTAATAAGTGTTCTTATTTATTCAAATAAAATAATAATATGTATTATTTACTTAATAATAATTATTGTTATTATTAAATAATATCTTTGATATTATTATTTATTAAATAAATACTAATATTTACTAAATAACATCATGTAATTATTGGTACCATGGACTCTGATCGACGGATGGTCAAGTCTCCAAAAGTCTAGAGATGATGCCAGAGAAGAGAGAAGAAGGGGGAGAAGTATTGTTGTGGAGGACGTAGGGGAAGAGTAGAGAAGAAAGAGAGATAGATAGAGTGAGAAACGTCCCCCTTGAGAAACCCTAGTGTTAGGATTATATTGATGTTTGATCTAGGATGAAGGTTGTCCCTCCTTTTATAGATGGGATCCTGAGGCTATTAGGAGAAGATCCCAAAATAGACTGTTCTTTATTAGGAAAGGGATCTTTATCATCATGTCAACTATCAAGCAAATTCTATTATGGTTTCGCTACGTGTCTAACGAGACTCTCTAAGAATAGAGTTTCCTTTCCTTAAGGATTCTCACACAACACATGTTGGCTACACCCCTTCATGGGTTTTCTCGCAGCCACATGTCGGTACTTTTGACCAACTAATGTGTTCAAA